GAAGAGTCGGACACGACTAAACATCAACACAGCTGCTGGAGTCCACAGGTTGGCCGCCCCTAAGAGAAAAGGGGAGGCAGTTTTTGCTTAGTTCCCTGAGAGAGGAACCCAGTGGAAAAGAATGGAAGGACACAGGTGGAGGGGGCAGGGGGCTGGATGGGAACGATCACCTTCAATTGCCAGGGCTCACTGCTGGGTCAAAAGCCATTCTGTGAACATAAAGGTGGTGTTGGGTGCACTTCACCGCCTCCCTGATTTTGGAGAGTCTGAGAACGGAGGTTAAACGTCCAGGAAGATAATGTGGTGCAACCCTCTTGGGATGGTACAACTTCACACTACGAGTTCAGGTTACAGCAGCAATTCAAAACAACGGGAGCAACATAAAAGCAATGGTAGGAGCAGTGTTAAAAACAACCACATAACACCCAGAAGCTGCCTGTCAATTGGGTCAAAGTGTTTGCGACAATGTACAAATTGCAACGTGACCAAGAAGGAAGAAAATTAAGCTCAGCAACTGCTGTTCTTGGCATAGATGTGTAAAAAGGGAGACACTCTGCCCACCTCCTCTGCAGCAGAAGCATCATTCCAAAAAAACAGCAGCATCTGATCATCCACTTAATTGGAGTCATTACCTTTCCGTAATTATTTAGGTTTTCTAATTTCTAGGCTAGGAACTGGAGTACCTGTGATGTAGAAAAATATCTGAGACCAACTCAGGCCAATCAGTTTATCTTTGCAAAAATGCATAGAAAAAATGTGTATAAGAGGGAAAATGTACACTAAAATGCTGATGAATTTTCATCTGGACTGTATTATTTTTTAGAATGCAAAACGGATGTGGAGATTTGGAGAACTGAGCTTCTGCGTTGAAAAAAATGAGAAATTGAGAGAAGCCAAAATGGAACGATTTACCCATCGCTAAGTGGTGAGATCTGGCTGGTGACTGGGACCCTGACAATCACCTGAGGATGCCACAAGCCGATGCCAGGCCTGTCTCCGCTACCCCACTGCTCATGCCCTCCCTCGAGTGCTTAGCTTTCCCTTGATATTCACTGCTAGCTCATCCTTGCGCTGCCGCTGCTGCCATTCACTGTGGGCTGCATTCCAGATGGAACGACAAGATCTCTAGCTGAATCATAATCAAGTGAGAAGTCTGTCGTGGATTCTTGCCAAGGCTCGGCATCCATTTTTGGTAAGGCTTCGTAGAGCAATTCCTCTTTCGAGCAAGTTTAAGCTTCCAAGGGGAACGTATCCCGGCCCCTGGATTCACACTGCACTTCCCAAGTTGTGTGAATCAGGCAACATCACCTCCGCTATAATATTCACCAACAATTTGAGGCCAAGGTGGGGAATCTCAAGACAAGGGAACAAATAGCACACCAGCCCCCAAAGCAACATGACTGTTGCACCATCCCTGTGCGAGGTGGGATCGAAGGGCGGACAGTTGCCCCATCCCCACACCATCCTCCCTTGCAAGGCTCGGATCTAGGGAGGGTGGCGTAAGAAGGATGCAACAGCCATGCCGCTCGGGGGCCAGGGCTGGGTGGGCTCTGTTTGTCCTCCGCCCCCTATCCCCACCCTCGGCGCATGCACACACACGCAACACCAGTCCCTGGCGGCATGGAGATATGCTCCACCATCGGAGCACAGGGTCTCTTAACAACTCTCAGAACCCTTAACAGTTCCCCGTAAGGGACCATTACTTTGGGATGACTGTTTAAAATGATGTGATACCGCTTTCATTATACAGTCGTACCTTGGTTTTCATGCAGCTTAGTTCTCAAACGTTTTGGCTCCCAAACGCCGCAAACCCGGAAGTGACTGTTCCGGTTTGTGAACTATTTTTGGAAGCCGAACGTCTGACGGGGCTTCCACGGCTTCCGATTGGCTGCAGGAGCTTCCTGCAGCCAATCAGCAGCCACGCTTTGGTTTCCGAACGTTTTGGAAGTCGAACGGACTTCCGGAATGGATTCCGTTTGACTTCCAAGGTATGACTGTATAGGCAGATGGGGTCTCAAGGTTGCATGATCCACAGCTAGATAGGGAAAGTGTTTTGAAGCATCCCATGTATTTACTGACACATGTGTACACATGTTAATATTATGGGTTTGCAGAAGCAAGCACACAGCAGACCCTACCACTTGCAAAGTAATATCAGCATTCTGGATTCCTCACAAAGCTGCTTCAGCTGGCAACAGATCCCTGGCTAACTTTCAGCCAGCTCCAACATTCAAATAATTTCCCTTTCCAGCTCTTTTGGCACACGCATCCCACACTCGACTGGTCAGACCAGTTTCATAGCCTCCACCCGCCATGCAGGGGCATGTGACCTGGTTATCCAAATGGCTAATGTGATCTGCCGCATTGCCAAAGAGGGAGAAGATCCACCTTAAAATGGTTAGGGAGACATAGTGCAGTTTGCATTTGCCAACATCCCCCTGGCATATACTTTTTAAAAATTGGATTTGTATCAGCATTTCCTCCAACCATCAGAAAAACTCACATAATACAAAAACAAAAGAATATACATAGCAAATACTGACTGTGAACTTCGCCCTGGTACTACTTGTTGATGCACAGAAAGAAAGAAAAACTGAAACAACCAGAGGACAGCCCCCGTCCTATTATTAATTCTGTTTCTGTCCTTATTGTTATTTTGCCTTTTACATATGTCACTCGCGCAATAAAACCAACTAAAATAGGTTTTTAAAACAATACAACAACTAACCATAGATCCAAAAACAACACAGATAAACACTCAGGTCAGAGACTTAAAACATTCCCCCTTCCATCCAGTCGGAATAGGAGGAAGCAAAAATGACTTTGGTTATTACAGAAACTGCAAATAATGGGGGCCTGCCATATCTCTGCAGGGATGCTCTTCCACCAAACAGGGGCAGCCGCAATGAAAGCCCTGCTCTGAGTTGCCGTGATATTTTAGGAACTTCAGGGACAGACTCTCCAGCAGAACGCAGTGCCCTACTTGGTCTGTAAGGGGTAAGGTGTGCAACCTAGGCTGGGTAGAGACCACTGCTTATTCTGGCTCCAGTGTGCTCCTGCCACTGGTGCTTGAAGCCAAGTGCATATGGTGTGAGCCACAATCCACAAGTACCCTGTAGCTCATGGATAGGCAAACTAAGTCCCAGGGGCTGGATCTGGCCCAATCGCCTTCTCAATCCAGCCCGCGGATGGTCCGGGAATCAGCATGTTTTTACACGAGTAGAATGTGTCCTTTTATTTAAAATGCATCTCTGGGTTATTTGTGGGGCATAGGAATTCGTTCATTATTTTTTTCAAAATATAGTCCTGCGCCCACACGTTCTGAGGGACAGTGGACCGGCCGACTGCTGAAAAAGTTTGCTGACCCCTGCTGTAGCTTATTGACAAATACTTTTGTTTGATGTACTTCCCTTTAAACCAGCTTCCATTCAATTTGAAAACAGAAGCTGCGGTTAAGCTGAGGTATGTACAACCGGGACGCGGACTTGCCGATCAGAAGGTTGGCAGTTCGAATCCCCACGACAGGGTGAGCTCCCGTCACTCAGTTTCTGCTCCTGCCAACCTAGCAGTTCAAAAGCACGTCAAAGTGCAAGTAGATAAATAGGTACCGCTCTGGCGGGAAGGTAAACGGTGTTTCCGTGCACTGCTCTGGTTCGCCAGAAGCGGCTTAGTCATGCTGGCCACATGACCCGAAAGCTGTATGCCGGCTCCCTCGGCCTATAGAGTGAGATGAGCGCCGCAACCCCAGAGTCGACCACGACTGGACCTAATGGTCAGGGATCCCTTTACCTTTATGTACGATCCAGGCAACCACTGCACATGTGCAGATGGCAGTGAATTGGAGTTTGGCTCAGGGTAACAACTCAGGTCATAAGCCCTCGGTGAAAACCTTCCTGTCTCCCTCTCTCTAGAACTGCAGTTTGAAACACACACACAGGAGCGGGGAACAACCTAGTTGCATTTTAGACCGCTAATGTGTACCAAGCCCTGGTTGTCTCCAGCTGTACAAGGGCCACTTTGTGCTAGTACCAAAACCTTGAACTTTTAAAAACACAGGATCCCTTTCGACTCCTTTGAATCTAATCAACCCCACATCTTTCAATAACCCATCACAAGCTATCTCTGTGCCTGCATCAATTCATAGCAGCGGTGATTCAACTGGGAATCCCTTAGCAATGGATTTGCCACCTGAAGCTTAGGCAGTTATTGTAACAGCGCAATTTGGGACATGCTAATTAAACAATGCTTCTATGTTTGTTTTAAATGGCTTTGTAGGGATCCATAAATTTCCAGTAAATGTAGTAGGGGCTGCTGGAACGGCAGGCGTGTGCATCCTGGCCTGATGAACAAATATTCACTTTGAGTGGCTTTTGTTTTTATTCCTTAGAAAGGAGTCGTAGCGGTCCTGTCGGACGCAGTGGCTTGGGAAAATAACAGGAAAACAAACAGGAGAGCAAACATATATTCTGTGCATAAATTAAGTTGCTCTGCTGGGTGTCTGGCCAGACCTTCTAAGACAGTATTGTCTGCACTATTTGGCAGCAGCAATGCAGGGTTTCATAGAGACAGCATCACTCTCAGTGCTTCCCAGAGATGCCAGGGACATTCAGCATGCAAATGTCGTGCCCCTACATTCAGAGAACAGAAGCAAGCGATAACTGAAGGTTGGCTCCGTTGGTAGAGTAAAAGGTAAAGGGACCCCTGACCATTAGGTCCAGTCGTGGCCGACTCTGGGGTTGCGGCGCTCATCTCGCTTTACTGGCCGAGGGAGCCGGCGTACAGCTTCCGGGTGATGTGGCCAGCATGACTAAGCCGCTTCTGGCGAACCAGAGCAGCGCACGGAAATGCCGTTTACCTTCCCACCAGAGTGGTACCTATTTATCTACTTGCACTTTGACGTGCTTTCAAACTGCTAGGTTGGCAGGAGCAGGGACTGAGCAACGGGAGCTCACCCTGTCGTGGGGATTCGAACCACCAACCTTCTGATCGGCAAGTCCTACGCTCTGTGGTTTAACCCACAGTGCCACCCGTGTCCCCTGTTGGTAGAGTAGGAGACTCTTAATCTCAGTGTTGTGGGTTCAAGCCCCTCGTTGGGCAAAAGATTCCTGCATTGCAGAAAGTTTGGCTAGATGATGACTCTCGTGGTCCCTTCCGATGCGGCACTTCCATGCAGGGTAAGCATTTTCTCAACATGCCGGCTGAAGCAAGTTTTGGGAGAAAATGCAAATCTTACAGGTGCAGCTTCCCAGAACCCAAATCTCTTTGCACAGGAGAGGATGAAACGGCATGTCCCAGGCTCAGGAAAAAAACGTGTGCTTTTGATGCATGACAGAACGGCAGCTGTGGTTTTTGCTCAAACATTCAAACACAACTATTTTTAACAATTCCTCCCTCCCCCCCCCCTGAGCACCAGAATCTCTAGTTGCAACCCTGCAATCCAGACATGTTCAAAGGACTTGTTTATTAGCCATTCCCAAAAGGAACTCTGGGAACTGTAGTTCTTTGAGGAGAAATAGGGAACCCTGTTGGTCTGGTTCACATTGCAACATTAACCCATAGTTTGAAATAAAATACGATTTAACACCTAGCAGGTCTTTGCTCCTTCCATGCTCCTGACTGTGCTACTTGGGGACAGAAAAAAGCCAGAGTTGTGGGTGTGTTTTTTTTTTTAATCTGTGCTAAACACCACCTTATTGGGCTGATGAAATCCCTCCCCCAAAAAAACCATTTTTAAATTTGCTTTTCTGTTATATCTCGCCATCAACACGTACTCTGGTGCATTCATGCACAAAATGAAAAGAAAAACAATAACATAAATATAAAACATAAACATGCACTAGTAATAGTGACATATGTATATTCTTCCAAGCTGTTTAAATCCAATATAATTATTGGGCTGATGAATTGTCTTATTGGCCATTCAGCAAACTGTGTTGACCACCTAAGTGGCCCATAAGCACTGAAAATAAATACAAGTATTCTCTTAGCCTCCGGGTAGACAGTAGGGTGAGTATTATCAGCCTCCCACACTTGCTCAAAAATCTGGGCAAGCACCAGCAGAACCAGGCATAAACAGAAGCTGGAGATAGCCACCTCTCCACAGTTTATAGCTCCCACATGGGATGTTTTGAAGTAACTTCCATTTTGTTAGCAAGCAGCGATCTGTTCCCTTCCACCCAAAGGTTGTTTCAGAGGCTGATGACGCAGGACAGTTATCGGGAACCAGTCACGACATTCTGTGAAAAAGGAATTTCAGGGTGTTTCACCCACATCCCTGATGACCCTCATCAGCTCGGGTCAATTTCAGGTCACTCGTGTTTGCAAGGAATTCTTGCACGCTGCCTGCTTCTGCACAACAGAGATAAGTGCCCTGCCACCAAGTTACTGCTCACGCGTCTCAGAACGCAAAATAGAATGCCAAGGTTCTCCTCTTTCAGCTCAGCCAAGCATCCAGTTCATCTCTTGAAGGTACAAAACAAGCAAGTGTAGTGGTTAGGGTTTCAGAGACCAGGCTTTAAATCCCCACTGAGCCATGACACTTAACGCGTCGTGACACACAGTTTGGAAAGCTCTGGTCTGGTTGGTTTTAAAGGGGGGAGGGAAGCAGCACACCTTGTGGTTATTTTATCTTTCCGTCTCACAACAACTCTAGCTGTGTCAACCCAGGTCACAAAGTCGTCCTTTTCAAGTAAGGGGATTTGTGTCTTTGCCACGCAGGCCTCCTTCACTGGCTGTTGATCTGCATTCCTCCTTCACTGTGAGTTTCCCAGAAATGCAGGCCCTGGGAAGGTTTAATCATGTCTGATCTGAAATGAAGGTAAGTGGCATACCGGATGAATCGCGTGAACTCTGCATGAGAAACAGCCTGCTCCTTGTAGATGTGATAATGCAAACTGGAAAAAAGAAGAAGATGGGTATCATTTGTCGAACATTATCAGGAACGAAGGACAGGAAATAGTTGAAGTTCTTATTTGAAGAGGCTGGAGAAGATGAGAGCTGAAGTCAAGGGCAGCTGCGGCTGCAGCTCAGCAGCAGTATGGAGAGAGAGAGAGAGAGAGAGAGAGAGAGAGAGAGAGAGAGAGAGAGAGATAGTCTGGCAGGCAGGCCTTAGTGGGAAATCTTGCATCAAATGACAGACATCCTGCGTCAAAGGTCAGCATGCAATTTCTTTAAAGCATGCATATTAGCGAGTAGACTTCAGGTTTGTGGGGTTTTCTACTAGACACCTAAAATCCTCCAACTGGAGCCCAGTGCAGAAGACATAAACTAAGAATTAAAGGATTCAATCAGAGTGTGGGGAGTTTGCTTCAGGAAAGGAAAGGTGCTCACAGTCTTTCCACCCAAAAAATCCTGCTGCAGCAGAAACATAATTCAGGGTGGGAGGATGACAAGTAACGCTGTTGCTGCTGTCGTCAAGTTGGGAATCAGAAATCCTTGCGGCAAGCTGCCCAGAAATCTATCAGGAGATCCTCTTCTGCCTTCTGAGCTAAAAGCACCATGCTTTCCTGTGGTGCTCTTTTAGAAATTAGTCCTTGAGAGACGTTACAGCAAGGGTCTTGTAAGGAGACACCCTCTCCGCCTCCAGGAGGAGGGAGGAGGAGCTCTTCTCCTTTGGGCCAAAGCAAAACAGGAAACAGCATTTCCTCTCAGTTCACTTACATCCTTCCCATGTCTCTACTCCTGGACAAGAGTGATCCAGCACCGCTGACACACACAAAATCCTGGCTTCCTGCAGTCTCCTCTCCCTCGTTCTCATTTCTTCCTTTCTGGTTCCATAGGGATAATTTCATGTGCTGCAGGTCCAGTGGTAAGCCATCAGCTGTGGTGGTGAAAAAGAAGCTTGGTGGTCAGTGGCAGTGTGCTTCTTAAATTCACAATATTAGGGCCAGACTAGGTAAAGATAAAGGATCCCTGGACAGTTAAATCCAGTCAAAAGCAACTATGGGGTTGCGGCGCTCATCTCGCTTTCAGGCCAAGGGAACCCACAAATCTGGGTCTGGGTCTGTTCTGGGTCATGTGGCCAGCATGACTGCTTCTGGCGCAGCAGGACACCGTGACGGAAACCAGAGCGCACGGAAATGCTGTTTACCTTCCCGCCGCAGTGGTACCTATTTATCTGCTCGCAATGGTGTGCTTTCGAACTGCTAGGTTGGCAGGAGCTGGGACAGAGCAACGGGAGCTCACTCCGTCGCCAGAATTTGAACCGCCAACCTTCCGATCAGCAAGCCTAAGAGGCTCAGTGGTTTAGACCACAGCGTCCCCTGTGTCCCTCTAAGGGCCAGACTAAGGCTGTGCTCACACGAGGAGAGAAGAGCAGGGGATTGTGCCGTGTTAGCAAGGTGAAATGCTTGCACATACAGAAAGCTCACCGTATTACACGAGGCCAAATTCCATCCCTGCTTTGGAAACCCATATTGCCCAGCTTTCACAAATTCAGTTTTACCCCACCAGGGCACATGAAATGCTTTCTATTTTGCTACAGCCACTGTGCACTTAACATCGAAAAGTCATTAGCCATTTTATTGTTATTTATTCAGTTTATTTATTGTTATTTATTCAATTTGCATACCGCCCTATACCCGTAGTGTCTCAGGGTGGTTCACAACATAAAATCACGATATAAAAACACAAAATACGCAATAAAAATATAAACAAGAACAACCCAATAATTCCACCACCAACCCCAAAAAAATTTTTTTTAAGGGCATTGGATGTCAAGCAGCCAAAGGCTTAGGTAAAGAGGAATGTTTTTGCCTGGCACCTAAAAGTATATAATGAAGGTACCAGCCTAATCTCCCAGGGGAGAATTTATATACTGCCACGTATCAAAGGATCCCATGGTGGTGTACAACATTAAAAACACATTACATAGCACCAATGATAAAAACATAACAAAAAGCATAGAAACAGACAGCATAACAATAAAATAATTATATTATTTGTTGCTGATTCAGCTCATTTGCACAGGTCCTTTGGGGGCTCATCTGGGTCTTAGTATTTGCCAACCTGAGTAATTTGGTGTCATTCCCTACCTTGGGGCAGATCCACACTGTATATTTAAAGCATGTTCATCACACATTTAAAGCACATGACTCCCCTCCCCCAAGTATCCTGGGAACTGTAGTTTGTTAAGGGTGCAAGGGTGTGTACTCCCTATGAGGGTTAAACTACAGCTCCCAGGATTCCTTGAGGGAAGTCATGTGCTTTGGATGTGCATTGAATATGCTTTAAATCAGGGGTCAGCAAGGTTTATCTTGCCTGGGCCAGATCGGTCCCGCAGAGATCCCTCATGGGCCGCAACACGTGCACACTCGTGATTTTTGGCATCTGCTAGCTCATCCTTGCGCCACAGAAGCAATTCCCACGCCGCTCTGCACCGGTTTAGCGCAGTGCGCAAGCGAGCAACTCAGTTTGAGGTTGGCTCGTGGGCCGGTCAAATGACCTCCGTGGGCTGCTTCTGGCCCATGGGCCTTAGGTTGTTGACTCCTGCTTTAAATGTATAACGTGGATGCAAAGGGGAGGAGGACAATTATAAAAATTCATATTTGACTCCAGATCAGTTCAGGCGTGGGGATTATCGTGTTAGTTTTCCTGATTATAACGCTAGCACTTCAATGCCGGATTCTAACATTTCTGTTACACTGTGCTACCTGTTGTGGTATGGAGCTGTGGCTTAAAAATAATAGTTATATTGGTTTTGGTATCAACAGTAATACGCATAGCAGATAACACAGGATTAGCAGCTAATAAACAAGAAGTTGCAACAGTTATGTGATATATCAAGACTTAACACTCAAAGATTTAACTAATGTCTGTGTCGGCATGAAATATCCATACCAGTGAGGAGTGTGTGGGTCTTTTTGATCAATAAACCTAAATTTTAAATGTCAGGAAAGAAATGTTTTCTGGAATACCACCCCAGATTTCCTCATGTGAAATAATAACACAAAACTCCTGCAATTTTCTAGAGCTGCAAAAAGGGAAGTTTTCTGGAAGCAAATAAAATGGAAATGAGCGCTAAAGTTTCCACCGGATTCTGCTAGTTTTCCAGAAATGGCTTTTACATTGTGCAAAAGGTCACATAAAGCGTGGAAATT